CATCAGGCTTTTTTGGAAATCATGTCCAAGGTCTTCGCCAGGTTTATTCCATTACTGCCGTTGCCAAAAAGACCTTTCCCTGTGATTTCAAAGGTTCTGCTAACAGTGGCAGTGAGAGGTTGATGTCCCATTTGCCTAGGTTTGGATTAAGATTTCTTCATCTGTCTCTGAGGAGCCTGAAGATGTGGCTCCTGTGTGTGCTGGTGGGGTGGTGCTGAATCTGCCTGTCCAGCCCCCTCATGGCAGGGCTGCTGGATGGCTTTTGTCAGAGCTTTCTGTTTCTTGGCAGGGAGGTGAGGGAGGTTCTTGTCAATCGTAGAGAGGCTTCACCAGAGATACTTCCCTGCTTAAATGGCTTGTTCCTCCCACCAGTCAGTCTCTGCTGCTGGTTTCACTCATTGTAGACCACTTGTGAGGTCTGGAGCAATTAATTTGTTTGATCACAGTCCATCTAGCTATGATTTCTGTCTCTTGCCTTCCAGTGGGTGGCATTTACCACAGCCTTTCTGCAAAGGGCTGATGTGACCTTTATGGGTGGAAACTAACCCAGCTCATCACTGGTACCTGATTTTTCTTGTACTCTGACCCTTCTGTGACCAACATTTTGAATCACTGGTAGCCAGCATGTTGCTGCATGTCTTTGTGAAGGTTTTTCTTATGGAAACTTCTGTTAGAAGTGAGGGAGCATTACAGGCCCTCATGGCTGATTTCCCCTCCTTTTAAATGGTGCTCTTTAGAGGAGGCACGTTGTACATCCCCAATACCTCTTCAAAATTCATGCTCAACCAGATTTATCAGTGCCTTTCTATCTCTCTTTGCGGCACCTCGAGCCTTGTGTATGAGGGACTGAACTTATACTTCAAGCCCCTGGGATGAATAAGCTCTCTGTTTATACTCATGGAGCCAGATCTTTCAAATGATCCTTGAGCCTGTGTCAGTGGAAGTTTTCTCTGACTTTCCAGCTGACTCTGTGTGAAGGCTATGGAGAGGTGCTGGAATGGGCAGCTGCCCATGCCAGGCTGCATTCCAGGACCACCGAGCTGCAGCAGCCCTCTGTCATCAGGAGCTCAGAGCGCCCAGGGCTTTGCTGAGAAATGCACCTATGTCTGACACTGATCAGGCAGCTCTCTGGGTTTCCATCTTTATCTCCGTCAAGCATTGCGCTGTTGCAGAGGCATCTGGCACCAAAGAAGAGCTTTGTTAAGCAGGCCTCAGACTGCTGCTTGAGCGGAAGATTTCTAAATGCATCCAGGCAGCTATATGCTCACTCTCAGTGAGTGTGCATGTGGACTTGTGTTTCAATGGGAGAAGAAATGTTACCTTCAAGTAAGTAAACTGAAGTTTTTTTAAACAAGCATTCCATAGGTGCCTGCAGTTCTTATTCCTTCTCTTTTTCTCAGGGTCCTTCCATTATATAGCATTATGCCTGGAGTCGGTGGTTGAAAGATAACACTAGGTATGCTCTGACCCATGTTTTCATTAACATAGTGTGGTGTCTATCTATTGTGGATGCTGAGGCTCAAAAAAGATGCCAGAGAGTCTGGCCAAGAGCTGTAGAACATATATACTCTTATTGTATCAAATGTGCCTGTGGACCACACACCTTGAACAGCCAGTATCTCAGTTCAGTGACTTCATCTTGCCTGTCCTTCCTATGTGCTGAAGGAGCTTCTCGAGGAAGGTCCAGCCTGGGCACTGTAGGGGAAAAGAAGTAACTGGATAGTGTTTGAAACTGGCATAATCCAGCCTGGCTGGGCTGTCTCCAAAAAGAACCATCCTCCCTCAGTCCCTTCCTGCCCCACCTCTCTCCATCACTTGTTCCTTCCTCTCCGTAGTATCTGCTTCTGTGCTTTGGTGGCTTTGCAATTAGCTGGATTAGCTCATTGATTTTGTTAAAAACTAATGCTGAAGAAAGAAATTCATGAGAGCTCTAGACAGCAGAATGGGAAATGAAGGAATATGCGGTGTAGGAATGGGCAGGATTGCAGCACAGTTATTGCTTGCACCTTGTTTAATATGTATTACTGTAAGGTATTCTTCCTTGTTTAAGATTACTAGGTATTGCCATGAAACCTTCACATCTGCAGGTTTTAATTTCTTGGGCTGTAATTCTGTTTTGCAAGTGAAATTAAGTGAATGAGGACTTCAGCAAGCAACTGAGAACTTCTGTGAGTTATCCAAGGGTGAAGGAGAACATTGCAAAACCTTGAAGTAAGCTCTTCACACAGATGAACAAACAAGTAAACTTCTTTGGAAACTGTAGAAATTGCAGCGATCCAGCCCATCTCCTCACCCACAAATTCTCCCTTCAATGTGCAGCCACGTATGTTTGATTTATTTTTGATTGACATAACAATACAAGAGCCAAATGAATTAAAAATGAAGCTACATTCTGAACTTCGGTGTTTCATCATGTGCCAGGAATCCAAAGTGCTTTGCCATGTTGTTCGAGAGAGCATTCTATCATCAGCAGTAATAATAATTTCTGAGTAATTAAATTAAACTATCTCTGTGCATCTAAATAAACAAATAGATTGTGGTTCTGTAAAATGTGCATGTGTGCCAAGTGTGAGACTTCACTAGTTGTTGAAATTGTGCTGCTTTTAATGTAGGAGCATTTGGCTTCATTTAGTATCAGCTCCCAGTGTTTCCACCAACTTTAAGGCTGGCTTGCAAGACACTCTAGTACCCTGGTAGGGTTTTTAGCACCAATATCTTTTAGAAGCTTTCATATAGTTACAGTTCTTGATTTACCTAGTATTTTTAACTGTATTATAGTCAGAGATATTTAAAAGAAAAATGTTACTAGGTTTTCATTCATTGTCTTCAACCTGCTTTATCAGCTGAGTAACGTACTCTGCTGACCATTAAGAATTGTTATAAAATTCTGTACATAAGAAATGCGTAGTTCGGAAGTGATGAACAGTCTCTCTCGTGAGCTGTCTTAGTACTTTTTTTTTTTAATAAATTGTTGGTGTGTTTCAAAATTGAAGTTGATTTTTTTTCTGACTTGGTTTTTAAAGTGGTTGAAAATGCAAATGTGCAGTATGTCTAGAGGGGTGAGGTAAATGCTCAGTTACTTTGAAGGCTGAGAATTTTTGTGGTTGGGAGAATTTGTTTATGCGTGCCAGATGACTTGGGGTTGACAGAGGACTACAACTGTAGCTAGTCAGGCAAAACAGAATTCAAGTGCGAATATTCTAAGTCCTTGCCTTTAGGCACAGAAATCTAGTCCATGCTCACACTTAGCAGAAGTTTGCACATAAGCAGACCTTAACAGAGTGCAGTGAATATTTGGAGTGGCACTGTAATGTTACAGCTTTCCCTGAGAAAGTGACAGGGGCAAGGAGTAATAGCGGTGGTAACCATCTCTTCATCAGCCAGTCTCAAAGGATTTGGCAGAAAGGATTGGTTCTCCTACTCCTGCTTCTCAGATCTGGAAAAGGAGGTCGAGCTGTAATGGCTTGGACAGAAATGGCTTGTGTACATCACATGGGGAACTTTCTGGTGGAACCGTTTATCCTGCTGGAAAATACTGGTTCAATGGGAAGCAGGATGCCTTGCAGAAGCATGTGCATGTGATGAAAATTGGGTTCACATAAAAGGGGTTTTGAGAACATTTCAGTTTTATATTTCAAAATTACTTTATTTCAGTTTCAGTGTAAAATGTAATAAAGACTGGGGAGTACAAAACAGTGACAAAATATTTTCTGTTTTTGTAGATTTTAACTTTATTTAATAAATCTGAAAGGATTTAGGGCCCAATTTCTTTGGTTTGGGCTTCTTGAGGGTTGGGTTAATTTTTTTTTTAAGTTTCTCATAAACTAAAACTAAAATATTTTGATTTATTTTCCAAGGGAAAGGCATTCACAATTGTGAAATGGGCCTTAAAATAAACAAACAAATAACTAGTACAGCTCTGCCGTTAAGTTCCAGTATCACGTTCACAGTTCCTCCCCTGCTTCGTCTTTGCTGTGGGAAGACAATAATTTATATCAGCTGTTTTTCTTGGGATCCTGTGTTCTTCCCAACAGAACTTGTAAATCCAAATGGGTAGAATTGGGGCTCTGTTGCCCCTGTCCTCTGGCACCCTGTCTTTTCCCACTAACTGCTTGTAGCATTTGGCAGGTAGATAATAAAAATTCTCCCCTCAGTGGCCAGAGTGCAAACCTGAGCAGAGCTAGGTGAGAAAGAGAAGAAATCTTACATAATCTTACAGTACAGACCCAGGTCTGTCTGAGTAGCTGTTGCCCTGTGCAGACTACAAAGGGAGCTAGGAGTAATTTCATTTCAGTGCAAAGTTGTTTCTTGTTCAGCATTGACAAAAGTGCTTAGAATTGAACTGTGGGGGTGCTGGTATCTGTTCATGTTGCTTTAAAACAGGAGAGCCTTCTGTATCCTGATTGCCTACTGATAAAATGGATGATCATTTTTGCAATAATTAACTTTAGGCAGTGCATCTATCTTACTCCTTCTTTCTCCACATTTGTCTCTAAATGTGAGCCATCAGCTTTTAGATGCTCTGTACCTAACAGGTACTCTTCTAACTTGGTCCCTGACAACTGTTGCTTTGAGAAAGTTCAAGGAGGGCAAACACAGCTTCACTTTTAACACAGTGTGATTATTCTGTTTTAAAAGAAATTTATTTTGTGCAGTATCTAATAAAAAAAGACTGAACAAAGTGAATGAGTTGCAAGATCAAAAAGTTCAAACATGGTGGGAGAGGGCTTCTTGTAAGGAGTTTGTGAGTTCATTGGTGTTTGGAAGAAGTGCGGTAGGCTTTTGTCTGCACAGTTAATAGTATCTATAAAGAAAAGAAAAATGACCAGAAAACTTTAACGTAAGTCTTTTGGTGGGGCAATGTATTCTACTCATATGTGGATTTTTTGCAGTCAGACAGATCAGCAGAGAGCAGAGGGATACACATCTTCAGAGTGCCAGAGTTTCTTTCTCTTATCCAGACTTTGCATTTTTATTTTTCTCTTTAATTTACTTTCCAGATAAATCTGGTGTCTTAATTGTGAAGATCTTAGAAGTGTTTGAGGAGTGTACAATACAAGTTGCCATCTGCCAGCAGCTGGAACAGTCTCCTGCTATGCTTTCATCTGAGGATGTTGTCATCAATGCAGGAGAACCAATACTCAAAGTCCTCTTTGCGAGAGAGACAGCAGCTCACCTGAAGAGCAGGCCACAGGATGTCATCCACATCTACCCTCCATGGTGAGTAGGGAGAACCAGCCATGCTTGCTGTAGCACTGTAGAACAATGTGGGGTTGGTAGAATGTTGGCTGCATTGTTGTAGGGAAGACCTTGGGGGCTAGGGGGAGAGCAGGGCTCTCCTGCGGTCATCTGTCTCTGGCAGCTTTGACAGATGCCTTAAAGATAGCTCAGATAACAACTAAATGTATATCGTAATGCCTCTAGTGTTGCTCAGGGCCTCAGTTTTGTTTTTGCTTAATATTTTCATGTTTAGAGGGATAGAAAGGCCTGAGCAATGTCTTATCAATGATAAGGCCAATAAAGTGCATACTTTCTGGTAGCAAAGTAGTTCAGGAATGTTCATCTGTTGCTGTGAGTATGGGTATAAAGTTTCAGTGGAAAAGTCTGTATTAACTGTATAGTATTCAGCAAAACCAACATGCAGCTAAAAATATGGGGGAAAAAAAACTAAGAAAAGAGAGATTCACATTATTCTTAAGGAATCAGTAGACATCTTTTTGGTAGTTCTGCATTGCTGCTGCTGCTGCTTTCACTGTCTTCAGTTCCCCAAATCCCTCTTCAGTGCAACCCTTTCTGGAATTTTTTAAAATGTTTGGTCTACATTTGTAATTTTTTCTGAATTGGATTTCTTTCCTGATTTTAAGGGGTAGCATAAAGTGATGAGATTTCTAGTAAAGCAGCTAGCTGTTGGTGACTGTAGGTTGGAAGGTCTACTCTTCATAAAAATTAGAGAACTATGAAGTGGGAATATTACTCCTCTTTTCACTCTTCTCCACCCAAATTATAAAAGAGGAAATACTTTCTTCTTATGTATTTCAGCATTCATTACCTGAGTTTTAGCCTCCAGCTGCAGTAGAATCCTGCCTCTAGCGTTTGACCATATCCTTTTGCAAAATACTTTTTCCTGTTTTGCAAAGGTCCATATCTGGTTGTTATCTTCATTGATAGCTGCAAATCTTTTCGGGGTTCCCCAGTTCGTAATCTGTCACTTCTAAAATGTTGTTTAAGTCTTTCTGGAGGCGATTCAAAAAATTAAGGGAGGATACTTAATTGTGCTTTATTGTGGCTACAGATACAACTATTGATAGTGTAGATGTAAATAGATTGGCAGCTAAGGGAAATACAGTTGAATATTAATTAAGTCCTAGTCTGATATAAAGTAAGTTACTGCTTTTTTTTTTCTTCCTCTCACCCTTAAGGTACTAATGTTTGTTCTTGTTTACATTTTCCTTCAACAATCTTCTTCTCATGCTTCACATTTGCTTTTGTTTCCCCCTGTTTTCTTCTTGTTTCTCTCTCCTACAAACTTCCATCTTAGTTCTGTTTTTCTCTTCAGGTTTCCTCTGTTGTTTTTAAACCACAAGGCATTGCATTTATGCTTCTGTATCTTTCTGTATAGACCCTAACCTACACATAGATTTTTGTACCAGCAAACCTTATTTTAGTTAGGGTATGATTCAACTTTTTTTTTCTTATCCTGAATGGTTACTGTCAGTATGCTTAGCATGTGTAAGTCCCAGACTGCTCCAGCTTGTTCCATGTCTGCTCTGGGAAGATGTAACTCTGCACTGATATGATCCTTTCCAGACTACAAGCATCTGTAACTGTACTAGTGTAGTCTTCTCATTTGTTTAAATTCTAAGATGTTCTGGACATAAAACTCATTCCTATATATATGTAAACAGAGATTTATTGAGAAAACGTCATAGCTATCTGTCTTCCCAGAAATATCACTTTTTATTTGCTTTTGTTTTTTATTTTAGTAGGATGTACTTTTCATGTAACCAAAAAGTTATTTCATAAAACCAGAATGTTTGGGCAGGGGATATGTCTGCGTCGCCAGAGTTGCTCTCCTTACCGATGTGGCTCTCAAGGCACTTTATAAAGACATTAGTCAATAGTGGCAAAATTGCATTATATCTCATCTCTAGTCCTATTTTCTATCATTTTGGAATTATCTTAATGTTATCGTCTCCTTGTTTACTCAACCAGAAGTCAAAATAAGTTGGGCTGGATACTGTTAAACTAAACTTACTGGAGGCAGGGAGGGGGGAGGATGAGGGATGTTTTTGTTTTAGATTATTATTTGGCACTTTTAGTTTACATTAATTGGAAATTGGACTTGTACACTTAATGGAAGTTTCCTCTGTCACATTTCCAAGCTTCTATTCTGTTAAACTCTTACTTGAGAGCTCTGAATGATGAAATGTAGTTTCTCTTACTCTGCATTGAATTCGTACTTTTGTCTTTAAAAACGAATACTGTTTGTGATAAAATGTCTTCCTGTCAATTCAAATGTGTGACTGGTGTAAAAACAAATTAACTAAAACTAACCCTGACATGGTGAATAAGCATATTTATGTATCTTACTGGTATCACCAGTCAGAAGCAAAAGGGAACAAAAAAAGAAGTAGATGCAAGGGGAGACAATCCTTGAATGACCCGTGTGTACTTGAGACACACAGCACACTATGCATTGTTGTCCTGCATTTTGAGATACTTGTATGGTGAGGCAGAATGGGATGAAATGGAATGATTTATAAGTGGACTGCTTCTGCTGCTGTAAAGTAACGTCCTGAGAGTAGAATTTCTCAATATCTTTAGAATAACACCCCAGAATTATGTTCTGACTTTGGTTTTTGCTTTCTGACCAGGCAGCTGAGTGAGTAGGTAAGATGCAGACAAACAGGCTGCTGGCTTCTGTATGTGACTATTAGTGAACAAAATTTGAATGCATCGTTTTGGAGCCTTTGTAAAATTAGACTTTTCTTTTGTAACTGTATTTGTATGTGTTGTGAACTCAGTGCACAGCTTGGTATGTGAAATGTCTCTGGCAGTAGACTTGCATAAATACTTTGGGAAACAGTGTTTAGAGATTAGTTGATACATTTGTTGGTATTTGTTTGCATACAGAATCCCATGATACTTCAGCACTAAAGTACAAGCAATTTAATTTAAAAAATAAAACATTGACAGAAGGCCGGTTATAAGAATCTTATCAACCTGGGCATTGCTCATGAGAGTGGTCCCACCAACTTTCAGAGGAGCTTTGTGTCAGAGTCAGAATTTGCAAGACTGAGCCCTGATTTCTTTATAACTGGATATGGATTTCTTTGGGTCTAGTGTCTTAAGGTATATATTTACAGTCTTGAATGAAAGGGATTTCATGTGAGAACTGTCACTTGCTATAGCGAAAGCAACCCCGATAGGCTGATTAACATTTTCAAACCAGCATGTCTAGTGGAGGAAGGAGCTCAGCTGCCTGGCCTCTGAGCCGTCTGATGGGAGCCTGCTCTGAGGCTATGTAGAAGTATTATTGCAGTGTTGTATCTAAATAAAGCCTATTAACTTGGACACATCACATGAAAACGGTTGCGTGGTTTGGGCTGGAGCTGGTTTGTGTCTGGCCAGCTGGGAACACAACAGGCAAAAGAACTCAGCCCTGCCTGCCCCTGCCTGCGTAGGCTTGCCTTCGGTTGTCTTTGCAGTACCTGAGCAATTTCTTGGATAAAGATTTTAAATGAGCACCTCATAATTTCTACGAACTGAATCTGAATCATTAAGTGTTTTGAACAGCTGGAAAAGGAAAAGCTCATTACTGAGTGTAATTAAATCGATTACGAAGTCTTTATTCACTTTGCAGAAATACATATCCAGCAAAAAGTGAACAGTGCTTGATACTGCAAAGACATGAGAGAATGGGAACAAAGGCTTCCCAGTTCTACTGGTGGTGATTTTGTGGCTTCAACTTACCTGGATTTTTCTTGTTTGTTTAATTGTAAAAATGATAGAAATAATTTATCATACCTAACAGAAAGTGATAAGAGTTGATATTTTTAGAGACTTCAGGATTCATTTTTCTGCTCACAGCAGGGCTTTGAGAATAGACAGTTTCCTTCAGATACTCCTGCCTCCTGCTCGTAGTTATGCCTGCAGTTGAATATTCAAGATAAATTAATCCGAAGAAAATGATGCAGATTTGAATTCTTTTCCTTGCCATTAAATTTAACAACTTTGAAATTTTTTTTATGTATTTCTGAAGTTAAACTACTAGAAGTATGTTGATACTAATACAGTTGTTGGCAATAGCAATATAAACCACAGGTCACATTTGATTTGGACAGGCTCAGAGGTCAATCCCTACCTACTGAATGTGATGGTCTGGTATGAAACCTCTAGTTCAGGAGGTTCATATGCTGCTGATGACTGGAGGGCTGGGACGGTATGAAGGGGACAGAACCACTTTGTGTTCTGTTCTTACATTGCCTGTAAACATTGGCTGTTATGCCCTGCAGAAGACGGGATCCTTGGCTGGATAGCCGCTATTTCCTATACAACTTCTCTGTGCTTTAAAAAAAAAAAAAAAAAAAAAAAGAGTTTATTTTAGGAACTCAATATGGTAAGTATATAAAACACAGCTCTGTGACATCAACAAGCAACTTCAAAGTTGTTATTTAGTTTCTCTTAACCTATGAAACCATGGGGAATCATAATTACTCAGCTTGGAAAGTGTTCTAGTGCCTGGTGAAAGTGTTTAATGTGGACTTCCCATTTCTACTTGCATTATACTGGATTCGGTCTCTCCTTAATGAAAGAGGTTTAGAAGAGTTTGAATTATTTACTGCCAAGAGAGCTCATACAAAACATTGCTGCAGATCAGCTGATATACAGTGATGAAACCTTGTATCTCAAGTCCTTTAAGGTGGGCCAGTGGTGGAAGTTGCTGTAGAAATATGCAAGCAAGCTCTGAAGAAGTTTATGTACAGGAAGCAATCTAGCTTTGTAGACTTATGTATTCTTCTAGTTTAGAATTACCCTGGATATGCCATAGTCTGTTTTGTTGGCTCAACAACAGGACTTAAACTAAATGGATATGTTACTGTGATTTTTGCATTGTCTTACTTAATACACTGTCTTACCTTGCATGGCCTTACATAATCTTGGTGAGCAATAAGACTACCAACACAGGGACCTAACATGAAATAGGTGTTCTGAACTAG